ATGAAATTTGAACCAAAGCTGTAACATAATATTAGTCACGGCACAAGTCACTATGCAGAGTTTTATTTGTATTGAGGAGGTAGGGCTTCTAAGAGAGACACAGAGGCTTAATGAATATGGTTACACTGAATTTTATCAGTAAGTAAATTTCATTTTTTACATCCTGAAACCAAAAATCACCATATTATGCATGAATTGCATATCACTTTCACTTGTCACAGTGAGTGAACATACCAAATTCAAACAACATTCATACTGTTTCTAGATGAAATAATCAACCGATATTTTGGGCAAACAATATAATTCATGAGGGGAAAAAATAAATATTTAATTAATTTATATGTGTGCACATAGTTTCAAGATCAGCTAACGGGATTGAAACCAGCTTTCCCAGTTATGCTTGGAGCTGATGAGAACAGTTAGTTTTGAACACAAAATGGCATGGGACTTAATTCATCTAGGTGGTAATATATTGCCTTCTCACAAGCACAATTGATCAAGTCATACACATTCATTACTGCCAATCTCTATTATTTATGTCTCATTACAAATACAATATATTTTTGATCATTATCAGCAGTATCATTACAACTTGTGCATCACCAATATCATCACAACTTGTATTTCACTACCATCATCATCATTATTCTCACCATTCTAATTTTATTAGTCAATCAGAATGAATAAAAAATTTCCTATTTTACACCACTCATATATTACTTATAAATTGCCTAAGGTCATGGCCATTTCACATCACTCCAGGATCTGAATACCCTGCAATCATCTTTTCGATATAATACTAAAAGAGAAACAAACGACAAATGTCTTACTGGCACACTGGAATATCATAATTGCCATAAAACAACTGTCATTTGAAACCACATTCTGCTGTAACAGCACAACTGCTCAAGGTTGCAAGGTAAATAATAGGGATGTAGTAAGGCCAGTATTACTGGTAATTGTCTTTTTACATTTTGCTCACAACCAAAGTCCAATTATATGGAGCAAAAGTTAGAATATCCAGCCACTTTTTATTACTCACTTAACCTTACACTTGACAAGTAAAATTTTCTGGTGTTGGACAGAGAAAAATAACAAAGTATGCCAGGCTACTAACTCTTGACGAAGGGCCTTCGCTCGAAACGTCGAGTTTCTGCTTATTTTTAAGGTAGTAATATAACCATTCAGCACAGCATATTTGATTATCCCATATTCCCATTACTATAGTGTGACCACACAAGACTCTCCCTAATTGGATGGGTAAAATTGGGGGCTATGGAGATTTAATGGCAAGAAGTGAGGGAAACATTTTCTCCAGTAAAATTTATGGGGGCCATTGGAAATTTATGGGGGCCATTGGAATTTTATGGGGGCCATTGGAATCATCAACCAGAGTATTGAGGCGATAAAGAAAAGAATACCTGACTGTAAAATTAATGTAATCTAACTTTCTTGTCACACAAAGTTAGGTAACGTTGGCATTTTCACACTTTTCTATTATTATCGTACTATTCTGTTAAGTATTTATTGGATGAGTCAGAGACCAATGGATTGGTATGAGGGCAGTTAATTTGTAATTTTTGCATGTATTCATTTATTAACTTTTGACTACTGTAATGCATGGTCATCCAGTTAAATAAGTATTTTACTGAGGGTACTGCCTAATGATTTTACATGCAAAAATTGTTATGAAAGATTGAATATTTTCTAAGCAAGCTGGAACAGAAAATTTTGATTTTAGTGAATTACTAAGTGAAGGATGGAGATAACCAAAAAATATATCAGGCATGAAGGAGGCCGTTTATATCCAAAAGCGATGGAGGAGTAATCAAACGAAGAAAACTAATTATACAAACAGACAGCCACGAATCTGCTGGAATTTATGATATATAAACTGATAAATATTAAAAGATATGAGAATATAATTTTATATATGCATCATAAAATCGTTTACCTCGAATATACTGCATTCTTTAAATTAATTCAAAATCCATGTGACTTCAAAGTTTATAATTTCCATCAAATAAAAACAAGCCTAAAATCTGCTGTCTGTTGTATTAAAATATGAATTTTCAAACAATTGTTATACATTCATATTTTAAAAATCAAAGGCAAAATCATTTGTATTTGAAACTTTTATAGTTCGTGCATTGCAATGTTCAGTTGTTCATCCCCCCCGGGATAACATGACCTAAACAAAGGCCAGGTTACAAATGTCCAATATTTTTGGAGTCACATGACCAGTGTTTACCAGGGCCTTTGCTTCCCGTACCAGAGCCTCTGAACCGCGCAAAGGCCTTGGGTACGAGGTTGAGTCATCAATTTGACTAGGGCTTTCGGGCAGGCTCTACTTATAAAAGAGCCGGCCACGCTGACTACGATCATCCAGATTAAAAATCGAAATCCAAATTAGATTTTTTTGTAACTGTAATACGTCTTTGATAATGGCTGCCGTGTAGGTAGCCGAAACGTCAGAAATAATTAAAAAATTTTAATCTGGATGATCGTACAATAAACTAAATTAATGGAAAAACCCGGATTCAAGCCCTTCAGTGAATTACAAAAGTATGGACGAAAGACAGCCAATCTTGAAAAAGAATACATTCGACGCGTAAAAGAAATTGCAAAAATAAAAGAACAGTTATGGTTTAATCACAGATGCAAAGAAAATGATCTACTTCCAGCCAGTCTCGCAATTAAATAAAAATATTTCCTACGGAAATATGGTTTTTTATGTCAAGCCTGAATTATAGTGATAAGACGAGTTCTCCTTCGGGAGCTGCCTCAGTTACGGAATCGCCTGTTGTCCGCATCTCAGAGCATGTTGCGACTCCTCCGACGGCTGTGGCGCAACTTGCTGTTTCCAACGCTCTTGGTTCGGCCCACGCCACAATTTCAGGTGAGACGTTTTTGCATGGCGCCTACTTCTAGCCATGTTCAACCAACGCAGGAATATCACTCTATTAGTTTACCTATAGACTGTCGGATTTCCATTAAACTTAAAAATAAAATTTGGAACGATGAATACATCGATTTCGGGTTTTTGTTGAGCAATCCAATGTCAGATAAAAAATTCCAATTGAGCTTTAGCTCTTCTGACGCCGGTTTACCACCATCTCTTTCTGTAGAGCCGATAAGTAAAGCCAAGAAAATAACAAATATTTCTGTTTGGATGAGTGCGTTTCGCATTTTTGTAGGGGTTTATGCTCAAAAGTATCCTCATGAGTCCCCCGCGGCCCGCACTCATGAAATACGGGGATATAGTACAGGACTTGGCAGATCGGGGTCAAAATTGGCGGTTCTATGATGAAAACTTTCGCTTTTTGCGTCAAACCCAGCGGAGTTTGTTGTCTTGGGCCAATGTTCATTGGGAATTGTGGCTGCGATCGCAGCATACTTCGCAAATATTACCCAGTACAATGCAAAGTGCCCCGTCTAACCTTTCTGGTAAGGGGCCGCAAAATTCAATTCCTCGAGGCTACTGCTTCAAGTTTCACAAAGGAGAGGCTTGTTCTGGGTGTGAATTTAAACATTCCTGTTTTAAGTGTGACGGCCTACACCCTGGCCTTAAGTGTAATTTTCGTGGCCAACTCAGGCGAGATTTTCCCAGACCAACCCGTAATTCTGCCAAGTCAGGTGCTGCTCCCAACGCCCATCAACCTAAATCGGCTTGAGCCATATTTAAACGGCTATTTTGCAGACATAATTTCTACGCTCGTTTCTGGTTTTACTCATGGTTTTGCGTTACATTTTTCTGGTGTTGTTAATACCCAAGAAGGCAAAAATCTGCCTTCGGCTTTAGCTAATCCAACCGTGGTTGATAAAAAACTTGCTAAAGAACTGTCAGCTCTCAGGCTTGCAGGGCCTTTTACTGCCGCGCCATTTCACCCATTTAGGGTTTCTCCGTTAGGTCTAGTCCCAAAAAAGACAATAGGCGAATTTCGTTTGATTCACCATTTGTCCTTCCCGCGCGGTTCTTCTGTCAACGATGGCATAGCTACCGCAAACACTAGCGTGCACTATGCCACAGTTGCAGATGCTATTCGTTTAATTAAACTCGCGGGACCTGGATGTTTTCTTGCAAAAACCGACGTGAAGAACGCTTTTCGCATTATACCAATTCGACCCTCCGACCATTATCTGTTGGGCATGAAATGGCGCGGACGGTATTATTTCGATCGCTGCTTGCCTATGGGTGCTGCCAGTTCTTGCAAAACCTTTGAAGTTTTTAGTACTGCGCTTCAATGGATTGCTTAACACAAACTCGATATCGACTATATTTTACATTTACTTGATGATTTTTTGCTTATTTCGCCCTCTTATGACTCCTGTCAGACTCAGTTACATCGCTTTCTAGCATTTTGTGCATTAGTTTATTGGTCTGCCGCTGGCCCAAGAGAAAACATTTGGGCCTTCGACAACCCTATCTTTCGCCGGAATTGAGCTTGATACCATTAAACTTGAAATGCGTTTACCTCGCGATAAGCTGCAAAAATGCGTGGAGTTTATCAGCGAATTTTTGAGGCGCAAAAAAGTTACTTTGCGCGAAATTCAGTCCCCAGTTGGCCTGTTAAATTTTGCGTGCAGCGTCGTCACCCAAGGAAGGGCATTTTTGCGTCGACTGATCGATCTCACCCACGACGTCCGTTTCTATCATCACCTAATAAAACTTAATGGCGAGGCTAAAGAGGATCTAAACGTTTGGTTATCTTTCCTGTCAACATTTAATGGCCGATCATTCTTTCTTGATGACAGATGGCAAAATTCCTCTAAACTTAATTTGTTCACGGACGCCGCGGGTGGCATCGGTTTTGGTGCAATTTTTGGCACGGAATTCTGCCACGGTTTCTGGCCCGATCACTGGCGCCACCGTAACATTGCTATTTTGGAATTCTACCCCATTGTACTGAGTCTGTATTCATGGGGTCATAAGATGGCGAATCATAGCATTTTATTTTTTACTGATAATGAAGCACTCGTTCATGTCATTAATAAGCAATCATGCAATGACAAGGCATTGATGTTTTTTGTTCGCAAGCTTGTTCTTGTTTGTTTAAACCACAATATTTTATTTAAAGCCAAACACATTCCTGGGACGTACAATCGCCTGGCTGATCTTTTGTCTCGATTTCAGGTTCAAACCTTCAAACGCGAAGCACCAGCCTCGATGAATTCCTGTGCAACGGACATTCCACGGCATCTGTTGCCAGCGAATTGGGAAATATCGTTTCCCACTTGACACAATCGAGCCTCCAGCCATCCTCAATTCCGACTTACCGACGCGCTTGGAAACTTTTTGACCAATTTCATTCTCATGTGTTTCAAACATTTTCATATAAATTACCAATTTCGCCTCCTACATTAGCACTTTTTATCGCCTACATGTTTGACCGGCGCTACGCCCCCTATACTGTCAACGGCTACGTCTCGGCTCTCGGCTATCCCCACAAATTAATGGGATTGATGGATCCCACTAAAATATTTTACATTGTGCAAATGTTGAAAGGCTATGGCAAACAGGGTTTTCGTTTGGACGCTAGGTTGCCTATTACGCTAACGATTTTAAATCGATTAGTAATGGCTGTGCCACACTGTGTCGTTACGTACTACGACCAGTGCCAATTTCGTGCGATGTGTGCTCTAGCATTCTTCGCATTTTTGCGCGTGGGTGAGATCACCGCAACATCACAGCCGGGCAATTGCCCTATTCAGTTAAACCAGTTCACCAAACTCTCAAGAGATGGTGAAGTGATTGGTTACAAATTAATACTTGCTCATTACAAGCATAACTACAATCAGCGACCATTTACTATGGTCATCAACCGGCAAACAAGCGCTTGCCCTGTACAATTATTATCAACATATTTAAATCATCGTGGCTGTAGTCCGGGTCCAGTATTTATGACAGTGGAGGGCGTCGCGGTGCCGAGAAAAGTTTTTACCGCTAACCTTGTTGCTTGCCTCAAATACTGTGACCTAAGTCCGTCGCATTACAAATCACATTCGTTTCGAATCGGTGCAGCATCTTTCGCTGCTGAGAATGGTTTGTCCGATGCACAGATTCGTCTTCTAGGTCGGTGGAAAACGAATGCATTTCAAAAGTATATTCGAGTTTCATCTCTTTATTATTATTATTATTATTAATTAACATATTTAGACAGGTTGACTTCTTCAGGCAGTGTACCGCCTGCTATCAATGAAGGACCTGTATTTATGCTAAAATTAATTAAGTATTTAACTAAGATTGTTTTCTTATGACATAGAATGTACAAAACATGATCACTAAACATACATTAACAATAATACGAAAATGTTCACAATTACGGCGAACTAAAGTTAAAAGATTCAACTTTTCTTTTAAAGTTAATATACGAGTTCTCATTCCTTATTTCCTCGCTTAGTGAATTAAACAGCAAAACTCCTTGCACGGAGAACAACTTTCTACCGGCCTCTGTCTTAACTTTCGGTACAATTAAACGTGAGTTGTTGCTTCGCGTGTTTATTCCGTGATTGAAACGTTGGAAGTTCACGTGGGGAAAATTTGGGCCAATCGAATGTAAAGATTTAAAAACATCCATTACAACACATCTTTTGCGACTAGTTACACAATCATCATGTAAACAATTTTTTGGACCAATTATTCTTGCCGCTCTATCTTGTAGTCTCTGTATTTTGGAATTAGCTGTGTTACTGAGGCCCAAATACACTGGATAGCAGTAAAACATAATAGGATAAATCATTGTTCGATAAATTCTTTCCGCAACATAGGGACTTATATTAGAGCGTATTCGTGAGAGTTGGCTCAAACGAGACGAAACTCTCTTATATACTTTTGACACTTGACTTGATAGAGTTAGATGGTTATCCATAATAATACCCAAGTATTCATACTCTTTAACTTGATTGATAGATGTCCCGTTCATCATTATACTGCAATCCTGTTGACGTGCTAATTTTTGAGGCGTTCCATATAATACAAATTCAGTTTTTCCTTTTTCCTTTCAACGACTGCTTCATTATCTGAGTAACACAATCCTTCCAAACCGGGCGACAATGTCGCGGGGTGTTGTCGCTTGGTCCGTTGCATCGTATATTTGGTGGTTCAGAGGGCCTGTCTAGCAGGGGCGGACATCTCGTCTTGATCACCAGATATATTAGTGTTCATTAGTAATTATTCAGCTAAACTGTTATTTCTGACTATTTTATTCCTTTATGTGTGTTAACAACAGTTAGCAGGGGCGACTGTTAAATGTTTAGTGGTTGTGTTAACAACAGTCATCAGGGGCGACTGTTAGATGTTTAGTATTGAAGGGCTCTATTTACAACATTGTGCTACTACTCATAGCAGCGATGTTTTGCTAATTTTAGAAGTGGGGGGACGTTCTCGAAAATCAAATAGGCGTGGTCACTCGATTGGGCTTGGCCTCATGCATAGTCATAGTGAACAAGTACTGAAGTACATACGCAATATCTTAATCTTTGAAATGGATTTAGTACAACATGTACCTAAAAAACACCTAGCTTGCTCGCGGTAGATATCAAAAAGCAAATAAAACCACGTTGACTTTAGAATTTCGATGATGCAATTAACGCTATGTGAGCACTAGTATCCGGCAACTCGGCAAGCAGTGAACTTTGCAAGTTAAATATGACGTTTTCGCGAGTAACTAAATAAGTTTAGATAATAGATATCCTTGAATTTTTCCAGTTTAATCATGTTAATGTTCTTATTAAATCATTTTATGTTCCCATTGATCATTTTAATGTTCATTTTAATGTTTAATTTCGCGATTGCGCTGAAGACTATACTAATTATATCTTGCCTGGCTGCTGCCTGACGTTATCCGCGCTTATGACAATAAGTACTTATCTATATAAACCGAACGTGAATTACCTGTACGAGACTCTAGTATTTTTGTGCTAGTCTGCTAGAATTTTCTGCAAGTATATCAAGTTTCAGGGAGATTAAAATAGTAGGATTCGGAGTAATTGTTGCCAAAAATAACACGTATGTAGTACAAGTGATAGCCAAAATTATTTGGACGGTGTCGAACGACGTTCACTGAACTTCACTCATATTTAATTCCAGCTAGGGAAACGCCGTTCCCCCATGTTTGATTTTGGCAAGGGGGATGCCGTTCCCCTGGTAAAAAAGGTGGGGGGATGGCGCTCCCCCGCGTTCTCCCTGGAAAACATCACTGACTCATAGTGGTTTCGCAGAGGCGACTGCTTTCGATCGGCCTACACTACAGTTAACAGGGGTTACTGCGGTATACTTTGACTCGCTATAAAAAATTATGATAATTAAATGCTCTTTGCTAGTGGTGTTGCGTTTTCCTCGGGTGGGGAGACTCCGCGATTTACGTTCGACTGACTTCAATGGCGTAGTCTTTGGCGTGTAGTCCTGCCACCTTTACTGGCAATGAACATACTCAAGTTATTAACTCAAATGATCAATTTTAATGATTTTATGATATTTCTAATTAAATGACGAGATTTTAAATAAAGCGGCTGTGAATCAATTTCACAGCCAACTTATCGGCATACTTCGAAACCCGGAATGGACTCGGACTCGGACCCGGACTCGAAGAAAATCCGGACTCGAGAAAAACCCGAACCCGGACTCGAAAAAAATCCGGACTCGTGTGTAACAAAACCCGGACTTGACTTTTGAAAACCCGGACTCGAAATAGACAAAATCGGATTCAAAACAAGGACTCTGTGTACGAGAATGCAAAGGTTTTTTGGAAAGGTTTAATAATAGTTATTTATTTATTTATTTAACTTCGCCATGATCATGCATTCATGGCAGGGTCACCACAACAGTATGGTACCAATTACTGTGGGCCCTTAGTTAACATGATAAACGATAATCTCTTTATAACTAGGGTACCTGCAAGGTAGGGATTGCTGCGGGCATTAAAAGCAAATAGAACTACATACAGTAAACAGCACAAATTATATCAAGCACATTGATTACTCGCAGCGACTAGTGAGCTGTGAATGGAACTGAGAAGAAGCAATATATATTGAAGTAGCAAAGACCAGGGATTAAAGGGCAATCAGAGGTGACAGATATTAAACATGTGCGTCTCATTAACATACAGGTAAATAAGATCAGATTTCATATCAAGTCTGTTTACTGCTAGGCGCATTTACCACATTATATAAAACTATATACACAGATTTATCACACTAAGAAACCAAAACTTTATAAAAATATAGAACTGACAGTGGCCAAAGTCCAAAACAAATGTAAGCGTAACATTAGATTTGCAAAAGCTTTAGAAATTTGATAAAAATTCGAAGACGAGTTTAAAATTTGTGTTCTGCGCATAGAAAGCGCGCACGACCACAATTCCATGCGCTAAATAAAATTTAGTTCAAAACCCCCTCTCTGCACATATTAGGCTGCTGCTACGCTCGCTCGCTTCAGGCTTGCTCGCTACGTCCAGTTATCAAACTTCGCGCAGTGTAATGTATTGAAAGTTTAACAGTCCAGTTTTGAAAATATCATTCAGTAGCAAGGTCTTCGAACATAAACGTGCAGAAAAGCGGTCTTATGCATGAGTTTTGCACGCTCTGAGTCAGATTCCAGCCATCTGATTGGCTGTCTCGATTTTTGCGCGATCTGTGGGGAGTTCTGATCGCTAAAGCGATCAGGGGCTCGAATACAGGCTATCCGATTGGCTAATTCAAAACAATCCTGAATTCCCATTGGCTGTACTTTTTTGATCGATCATACCGTTCAGGCTTTATTAGTGCTCGGAAAGGTCTATATGACGTTTCTGGCCCTTTCTGATCGCTACTTTGTGCTTGACCGCAAATTATTAAAGTTCAATGGGAAGATTTACTATCAGAAATTCTGAACTAATACTAACTAGCCATGTCTGTTAGTATTTACGAAACCGTAAAGGCTGCTTTGAAGAATGACGATCGATATTGAAGCTGATTTAAACAAGCGAGTAACGGTGTACCGAAGCTTTCTATTAAAGATTTATTGAGCGTTGTGAATAACATAAGCAGCCTTCCGGCCTCGCACGAAATTTTGGTGCTGAATCTTACATCCTGAAGTACGTTCGAGAGAAGACAAAAATCTTTTGTACGGCCTTAAGATATATATATATATATATATATATATATATATATATATATATATATATATATATATATATATATATATATATATATATATGTATATATATATATATATATATATATATATATATTCTATTTTAAATAGATGTAGCATTATAACTGTTGTATACTGTGGTGGATTGTGCGTCTGTCCGCACATGCTATATTAATATCGGCGGGTACGCGTATAAGACGTATAATAATACGAGACAAAATTTACATAATATTTATATATAACCCATCGCGTATCAAACTTTCAAAGAAAAATAAATGCAAAACCTAGACAATTAAGAACACTACAGCATCAATCGGTTCCTGTACCAGGGAAAAGTTTCAACCGTAGAAATAACTTAATTTATATTAGTGGTCACCAAACCAAAAAAACGCCCTTACTCCCTTCTCTACCGAATTTATTTGTTTCTAATTCAAGATCGCTGATCAGCAAGATTAACGAACTGTCTGCTACAGTAAAATCCTATGCATCAGACATTGTCGTTGTTACCGAAACGTGGCTTTCTTCAAATGTTCCTAATTCAGCAATAGATTTATGCGGTTATTCCTTACTGAGGCATGATCGTTCCGACGGCAGACGAGGAGGTGGATTCTGTATCTTTGTAAAGGACATGCTTCCGTTCATTCATCTTAAAGAGATTGAAAGTCACGAATATGAGTCGCTTTGGTTACTCTTAAAACCTCACCGCTTTCCTCGTGGTTTAAATTCAATTGTATTGGGAATCGTGTACCATCCACCTGGAAGTGACGATAAAGCCCTTCTTTCACACCTTACCGAATCAATCGATTCTGTCCTTTCCACCAATCCCGGTGCAGGAATTATTTTGGCCGGAGATTTTAACCAATTTAAACATCGCCAGTTATGCAGTTCCTTTAACCTCAAGCAGTTAGTCAAAGACGCTACTAGTGGAAAGAGTATTTTAGATAAAATATTTACCAACATTTCTAAATTTTATAATTCTGCCCTGGTAATTTCTCCAATTGGACATTCCGATCATAATTCCATCGTTCTTAAACCTCTTCCAGCTAACTCTTATGGTGGCACAAGGTCTACACCTTTAGTACGAGACTCTCGCCCAACCAATCGTCGAATTGTTAGCGATCATCTGTCGAAAGTTAATTGGTTACCTTTGCACCATATGGAATCTTGTGACGAGCAGTTCCAGTATTTTTCCACCATCGTTGATAATATCATAAACGAACATTTGCCTTGGAAACAAATCAAAATTGATTCTAGTGACAAGCCCTGGATTACTTTCGAAATAAAATCTCTCATTTCCAAGCGGCAGACAGCATGGGCGGCTGGCAATAACCTGATGTTCAGATTCTATCGAAACAAAGTCAATGCACTTTGCAAAAAGGCACGACTAAATTACTACAATAAAAGTATCGCGGGCGTTCAACAGTCCGATTCTCGTAAATGGTGGTCAGCGGTGAAGAATATTGCCGGTCTTCAGTCTTCTAAGAATGTATCTACAATGATGTTCCAAGGTAAATCCTACTCTGATGCCGATTTAGCAAATTTGCTCAACGACAAGTTCGTTGCTGTAAGGTCCTCCTTACCCCAATCTAAACTGGCTCCCCTTTCCCACAAATGACATTCCAGATGATTTGTGCATCTCTGTCGAGGAGACTAAAAAGGCCCTATTATCATCTAAACTTCATTCATCTGCTGGTCCCGATGAAATTCCTTCTTGGCTTCTCCGGGAAAACGCTTCAGTGTTGTGTCGACCTTTGTGTTCTATTTTTAATTCATCAGTTCGTGAAGGATTTGTTCCCTCAATATGGAAGGCAGCAAATATTGCACCAGTTCAAAAATCTTCGCCTCCTAAAGATGTTGATTCTGACTTCAGACCAATTTCCCTCACACCAATTATCAGCAAGATTCTTGAATCCTTTCCTACAAATGGCTACTTGACTCCGTCTCAAAAAAAATTGATTCCTTGCAATTTGGTTCGCTGAAGGGTTCAAGCACTAGTATCGCATTAATCTACATGCTACATAAATGGTTTGAAGCAGCTGACAAACAAGGTAACACTATACGGATTTGTTTACTTGATTTTTCCAAGGCGTTTGATAGATTAGATCATAACATTCTGTTGGAAAAATTGAAAGACATGGAAATTCATCCCGTGTTACTCAACTGGATCGCAAACTTCCTAACAGGCAGACAACAAAGAACCCGTGTTGGTCAGTTCTTTTCTGAGTGGAAGTTTTTAAACGCCGGCGTCCCACAAGGAACGAAGCTTGGCCCGCTATTATTTTTGATCATGATAAATGAGTTGGCTGTAGCGGATGAAACTGTTAAATTTGTCGATGATACTAGCCTTTGGGAAATAATATCAAACAATTCCCCTTCCCAGTTACCCGCTAACATCATCAGCTGCTCTGAATGGTCATCAGACAATAATATGAAGTTAAACGTATCAAAGACCAATGAATTGCGTGTCTGCTTTTCTAAGCTTACTCCACCGTTTGCCCCTATTACCATTCGCGGTCGAGAGGTCGACGTCGTTTCCGAGGCCAAACTATTGGGCGTTGTCCTTTCGGACGACCACAAATGGAACTGCCATATTGACTACATTTGCAAGAAAGCCGCGAAGCGTTTGTACGGTCTGCGCCTTCTTAAAAGAAATGCTTTACCTTCTCATATTCTGATCTCAACCTATTGTACACATATTCGACCAATTGTCGAATATGCTTGTCAGGTATGGCATTATGGCCTTCCTCATTACCTGAGTGATCAAGTTGAAAAAAATACAAAAAAGGGCATTAAAAATTATTTTCCCTGGAACTATCTATGCTGAATGTTTGCTTAAAGCTAACTTGATGACTCTTTACGAACGTAGAACTGTCCTTTGCAAGCGACTTTTTTCGAAGATGTTGGAACCCACTCATAAACTGAATGCCTTAGTACCGCCTAAAAGTCTTCAAACTTATAATCTGAGGTCTTATCCCTACTTATTAGTACCTAGGTGTAGAACTGAACGTTTTTCGAACAGTTTCATTCCTGCTGCGTCTCGTGCTTATAATAATAAGTAAACTTTAGATTATTATCGTTATTTTTATCTAACTTACCTATTTTTACCTGTAAATATAGAATAGATTGAATACCTATGTTCTTATACCCTGTAATTCCAAAGTAATTCAGTTGTTACTGCTAGTTTGGAAATTTATAATAATAATAATAATAATAATAATAATAATAATATTTAATACTGCGGCTTAATACAGGCAGTTTCAGCGTGTTTATACTTTGTTTATGCTTCTTGTGACATGTAGACTTTATATATTAATCAGATAGCTACTTAATAATACTGTGTTATTTATACCTATTTTAAACTACAAGAACACGACAATGTAGCATGGCCTAGTGTAATACGATCTCCACAACATGTATATAACAAGCAAAATGGATCATGTTGCCATTGTGAATACTTATTCATGGCGCATTTTCTTCTACGAATGAAACTCGAGGAGCAGTGAATTAAACGCAGAAATTCTCTTCCTGCTTAACAATCAATCAAATATTTTAAACTGCATCACTATATTGCAAATTTTTTTGACAATTTTTAAAACGTCAAGTCATCCTTGTCAATCTATTTCTCGATGAGAATTGGATATCTGTTTGACATTTGGCGAAAAAGTAATTTTTTAAGTTACATTTTTATCGTAAACAGAACACAGTATAAAAAATATTAATTTGCTTGGCAACTCCCCCCCCCCCCCCCCCCCCCC